CATCTTAGTCTGAGAACTGACATAATAAGGAGCGAGGAGGAAGAGGACTCACCTATCTTTTGCATTTTTGGTTTTTCAGAGACTATAGCAGAGTGGATGCTTAAGTCCACATAAATCCCTAATAGGTAGAATAGGATTTTTCCATTGTTCCTTTTTTTTTTTTTTTTCTGTTATAGAACATTAGTGGCAAAGCATAGATTCAACGTGAGAAGACGGCTAGCCTTGGTCTTTTTTTCATATGTGTTGACCTTTGCCACCAGTACCTTGTCATTCTGTAACAATGGTCATGTCCAAAATGTTTGTTGTTGCATTCATCACATATTTCAGCTTCCCTTCTATTGTCTACATTCATGAACAGTAGGCATTATAACAGTTCAGCCTCCAGGCTGAATCACTGTGACATGAAGCAGGAGACTGTTGCCCATCTCTTCTAGCTAACTCACAAAGTAACTGTCTCTCAATATCAGTACAATCTGCAGGAGTTAGTTGGGTACCTGAGACTTGCAGGTATTTTTCAAATGCAGCAAAGCTGGATCACAACCTGAAGCTAGGGAAGGAAGCTAAGGTAAAATCACTTCGTAGAATGGTATATCAGTCATATGGAAGGTTCTTTGCTGTAGCAGGTAGAGAAAAATATGTTAAGCAAAATGACAGGCTGAATTAAGTGCAACTTATTCTTAAAAGGAGGCAAAATTTCACTCGGGTCTATAGCAATGGTACATCTCTTGTAGTTCCAGCCTATGGGCTAACTTTATTTTACTGCAGAAGGAAACATGAAATTCACGTTTTAATTTCTTCATTTAATGCAGTAATTGGCCCTTGCATCAGGATTTCCTCTTCCTTTGAAATTGCAGTTTTGTTCCTCCACCTACAAAAGTGAAGCTTGTTTATACTTTACAGGACTTCCTCAGGACCACCCCAGTTTGTGAAATTTGTTCACATAGATTTACATTTGGACTGGAATGTGGTGAGGTTTGTCATGATGTCTAACTACTTCAACCTTGTCTTCACCATCGGTGGTAGAGGCCCATCATCTATGATGATGAGTAAGAACTTAGCTAAATATAGTTCCTACCAAGATAGTAATTTTTTTTGCTGAGGAGGTTTTTTTTCCCCCCTCCATCTTCCCCATTGAAAACTGCTAATTCTTTAAAGCCAAAGGGAGAGCAGAAGTTTTGATGAAGCTTTGTAGATTCAGGATAGAATTCTTGGCTGAAAAGAAAACACAGAATAGCTCTGTGGGAATCAAAGTCCTTGATGTAATGAATATTTAATTATTTTTACGATATGGAAAAGCACCAACAAGAGAGTCCCAATCCAGAGTAACCTTGATTTTGATAGGAAACTCATATGCACAAATGAGTTGGGACTTGAATACAGGTCTCCCATAGTCCAAATGAGAATCTTAATGATTAACTGTTGGCTGAAGGGGTCTGTTTTTCTCTTAACAAAAAAACCAAAAAACCCCACAAAAAACACAAAACAAACACAAAAAACATAAAACAAACACAAAAAAAAGAAAATCCAAGAAACCCTTTAAAATGCCTCTGTTTCATCTTGATATAGAGTAGGAAAACAAAAATCTCAAACATGTTTAAGGCTGGGAAAAATTTTATGGCAACACTTCGAACACTTTGGGGAGTTCTGGAGAGAAATGTCTCTCTCCATGAATCTGTGGTGCTGGCAGCTCAGAACAAGAAAACATAGCTGTGGTAAAGGGGAAGAGTATGAAAAGAAAGGCAAGAAGCGAAGATCTCTAATGCAGGGGGAAACTTCAGCATGACCATCTGAAAAATATCATAAATTAAATTAAATCAACTGAAGGGGACACACGCACGTGTGTCCCCTTAACCAACTGACTGACCGGAGGAGGCGGTGGCAGCAGCAGAGGCAGAGGCCGAGAAATCGGCAGTGGGGGCAGCCCGAAGGTAAGTGGGGCGGAGGGACCCGGTGCAGCTGAGCCGGAGCCGGAGGGGGCCCCCGCCGGGTCCCATATAGCTGAGCCGGTAGGGAGCCGCGCTCCTGAGCCGCGCAGTGTGAACAAAGTACGCAAACAGGTGCGCTCTGTGAGAGCGCGCCGGCATTTGCGCAGGCGTTCGCACCAGCAGGCGGGCCAGGAGGGCCAGGAGTGAGATTCCTGTATGGGTAGGGAGTAGACACCACACAGGTCTACAAACAGCAGCTTAGAATGGTGTCTACGAGGAGTGCTGCTAGGGCCTCTGCCCAGGGGGACAAGGCTAACTGGGGCTGGTCTGAGGCCTCCACCCAGACTGAGCCCATGGGGGAGCTGATGTCCCCCTACCTCCTGGCCTGTGGGGGATCCCCAGCAGGGTTGGGGGGGCAGAGATTGGGGGCCCCTACACCTGTCCGGCAGGTGCCCGTCTTAGGGCTCTGGAGGCACAGGTGAGGGAGCTCCAGGAGCAGGTTAGCAGGCTGAGGGATATCAGGGAGGCGGAGAATGAAATTGACAGTTATTTCCTTTCCCTGCAGGACCAGGCACCTCTTGCAAAGCAAGCATGACAGCTTTGCTCCATCACCCCCCTCCCACCCTCCCCACCTAGCTTTGTGCTTTGACTGGTCCCCCAGGACTAGTGCGTGCTTTCCCTGGGGCCTCAGACCACTCCTTAGGGTCGTACGGGGACAGGTGTTGCTGCTTGTCCCTTGCAGGACTAATGCTAGAGCAGGGATGTATTAGGAGCTCTGCAGGATGTGACTGTGGCAACCCTGATCAAACTATGGACCACATAACAACACTCTGCCCTCGATACAGATTTGACAGTGACATTGCAGAGATGCATTCCCTTTCCTCAAGAGCATTAGACTGATTAACTCATTCTAAACTGCATCAAGTCAGCCATGCAAAAGAAGAAGAAGGGGTAATCTTTTGTTCCCTGCTACGGACCAGTCAAGGGAGTTTTGCACTGAGGGCTCAGCAGCTCCGCCTCCTGGCACTGTTCCTCTACTGATGCACACCGTCATCGTTCCAGTGAGCTCAATGGAGCTGTTATGAGTCATAGAAGTGGATCTGCCCCTGGGCTGCACTCGAGCCTTTCCATTGACTTGGGGCATGAGTTAACCTCACCTTTGCTCAGCTCCCTCCCTCCTAAGGTTTCATAGATTCACAGATGTTGGGGACTGGAAGGGACCTTACAAGATCATCGGGTCCAGCTCCCCTGCAGTTGGCCAGCAAAGAGTGCTGGGATCAGATGACCCCAGCAAGGTGGGCATCAAGATGCTTCTTGAAAATCTGTATAGAAAGCAGATAGTCACCCCCAGGGCCTGCCTGGAGGATTAGCTTCAGCAAATCCCTTGAAGGCATTTTGCACAAAGTTTTTATAGGGACACAGCTGATTTACTTCATCACTGACATCAGAGTTTCCTCACCGTGCTGGGTAACATGCTCACCTGGGGAGGGGGCTTTACGAGCTTCTCTTCTCTCTCTGCTTGTTTAGAGTTTGCGGGAACCGGCCCCCTTCTCGGATGAGATCGAAATCGATTACAGCAAGCCATACGCCAGAGTGACGTTCGAGGAGGCGCTGAGAGGAACCCCGTGTGAGTAACCCCCATTGCAGACCGATGCTCTAACTGGGCATATCTGATTTCTCCTGCCCCCAACTCAGCCTTAGTTGTGGCAGGGGAGCATTCTCCTGGGCTGGGTAGCCCTACTCACCCTAGTGATTAAGACAGCTGTTGTTACTAGGATTACACCAGTGCCTACACCTGTCGCTGAAACAGGTGCCTCATTCTTCCCACAGTGAGGTCACTTGTCATCCAACCAACCTGCAGTCTCAGTAAACACTTCCAACCACCTGCTTGAGTCCCTTCAAAGCCAGAGACCGCTGCAAAAAAGCGTCAGGGCTAAGCATCTTTTGTACACTAGGACCAGGGGTAGCTGAGAGCACCACCAGTGTCACAGAGACGGGAGGCATTTACAAGAAAAATAGCCTGACCTGAGCAAGTGACTCCAAGAGCCAGCCCCAACACACAAGGTCAGCATCCCAGCTTGGAAATGCTCAGTGAAATGCAGCACAGCCTTTGAAGGAATTTCAGTGAGCTCAACAGATCAGCCCCTCGGGATGAAAGTAGCGCTCCTTTTACAGTCAGTTTTCCCAGTAGAACTGAGCCAGTGAGAGAGGAACAAGGTCTAGACAAGCGGTTTACTTCACGTGGTGTTGGCAACCCCTACAGGGAGCATCAATCCTCCCCCCTGTCTTACCAGCCCATCTCGGAGACACCTTTACCACCACAATGAAAATGCTAGCACCCCTGCACCTCTTTCGATAAACAGCAATAGAGCAACTAGCAGCAAGCTTAGTCCCGTTGTGATGTGTGAAGACCCAGCTAGCCGTCTCCCAAAGAAATTTCTGAAAGTCCCAGCACCTGACACAAGAATAGAGGTTCCAGCCTTTGCCCTGTGGAAACCTGGCTGGTCGCTTGATGCTGATGGTTGCCTCTGTCCAAGGAAAGCTCTGGTCTGCCCTGGCTTAGGGCAGGGAGTGATCCAACAGATCCAGCAGCCTAGGAGTACTGTGCCTAGCTGCTTCCCATGATCCCCCAGCTGGGTTTTACCATACAACCTTGCACACCACGGAAGCAGGCAGTTTAAGAATTGACTCCATAGCAGCCCCCTCTGGCTGATTTTAGGAGTCCTGTTAAGTGGGTTCAAAAGAGACTTGGCCCATCTTCTGGAGCCCAAAGATGTGGATGTTATCGTGAGCTTCCACCTCCAGGCATACAGAAGTGAACTGAAGCAGGTGGGAAGTTGGGAAGGTCCTGAGGCTTCATCCTGGGAAGCTCATAAACAACTCTGGCATCTCCAACAAGCCAGCCTGAGTAGCCAGGTACTGAGCAGGATGTCGCTGTTGCATTTTGATTTTCCAGGGGCTGAGGGGTTTGCCGTCTGCATGTCCCCAGCGTTCCTTTTACATCATTGCCCCCACGCCATGCCCTGGCCACACGCGTGCCGACCCAGGTTCACATTCAAACAGTCATTTCTGTAGCGACAGCCCTTGCTAGATCTTTCCAGCTGGGAAGCCAAGCCCATGCAGTAAGGTATGACTAAAAACTGCTGTCCCTGGCCTGCTTGCTCATAACTGCCCATCTCTTTCTGTGCTCAGTGGATCGGCCGGTCAGGGTCTACGCTGATGGGATATTCGACTTGTTTCACTCCGGACATGCCCGGGCTTTGATGCAAGCTAAGAACCTCTTCCCCAACACATACCTCATTGTGGGAGGTAAGGCGAGATCTGTTACCTTGAGAAGACCTTCCTGCATCTTCCCTGTCCTTCCCCAGCAGGTGACGCCCTGCTTTGGGCTCTCTGCCTCAAAGGGCAGCCACGTGGCAGTGCCTCGCCCTTTAGCTTTGAGTTCAGCTCAGCACAGCGTGTGCATGGGACACTGAGGGGCAAATAATAGGCCTGAACATAAAGATTAAATCCTGAAATTGTGAAATTGTTTCTGGGAGGGAAAGACTCTCTGTTCCAACTGAGTTCATTGAACCTGTCATCTCAGTATTGCATGCCAAGTGCTAGGCAGAGCTGAGCTGCTGAATACTGAGCCATAAAAAGAGGCATTCGGCTACTATCTGTAAACCAGGAGCAGCAGAGGAGGGAAGAACTGTTTCTGTACATGTAGCTGAGCCAACGTGGGATGAGTTTTACTGTGAGAGTCAGTCCTAGCGTTCTGCTGGCTTCACCTTGTGATGGTTTTGGAATTCATAGAACCATAGGGGAATGGGGCTGGAAGGGATCTCCAGAGGTCACATCTAATCCAACCCCCTGCCTGAGGCAGGATCAGCCCTGTCCAAACCATCATGTACAAATCCATTGTCCAACCTCTTAGTAAAACTACTGTCAACTCTGATACAACACAATACCAGCACTGGTGGCTGTGTGGCAGTGATTTTAAGTTCATCATGGGGGCACAGAAGGGAATTGGTGAGGTTTTATTCACCAAGGCGCCCCCGGGGGTTACAAGAAATAGTGGCCACAAGCTAGCAGAGAGCAGATTTAGATTGGACATTAGGAAGAACTTCTTCACAGTTCGAGTGGCCAAGGTCTGGAACGGGCTCCCAAGGGAGGTGGTGCTCTCCCCTACCCTGGGGGTCTTCAAGAGGAAGTTAGATGAGTATCTAGCTGGGGTCATCTAGACCCAGCATTCTTTCCTGCTTATGCAGGGGGTCAGACTTGATGATCTATTGAGGTCCCTTCCGACCCTAACTTCTATGAATTATAATGAACCTGATTTTCTGCTGTATTTATTCTGTACAGTCATGTATACATGTTTGCTGTGGATGTGCAAGGCAGCCAGCATTTTTAATCACCGCTTTACACAGGTATAAATCACAATACAAGGAACTAATGGGTCTAGTGCAGGGGTGGATATTAGATCCACTGTATTGGGAATTCACAGTATGATCTTTCATTGGCCACATTTCCCTATTAAACCCCCCAGTCCCTTGATAGAATTATAAAGTCACGGATTAATTTTAAACTTATTTCTCGTTCCAGCACTCACAGGACTAGATGTTAGCAAGTGGTTTTTTTTCCAGGTGATCTCAGACAGGCTTGATTGCTAGAGCTAGCATATTTTTAAATATTTATATTATATATAAAAAAGATGCTACTACAGAGTAATGATGACCTGAAAGACAGGTTAGGCTCTAGGAAAGTAATTTGGTTATTTTGTGGTGACCTGAATGACACGTGTGTGTGTGTGTGTGTGTGTATATATATAAACTGTTAAATAACATACTTGCATATGTGTGTGTGTCTGTCTGTATTTATGTGCATGTTATATATAAAAAAGATTTAATCTGGTGTATGTGTATAATAATCTGTTTATATATACAGATATATTACATAGGCAGACAAAATCCTTACATCAACATGGCTACATCCAACGACCCTATATATAACATACACATATCTTTTTTAAGAATACATACACATAAATGAATACATACAAACATACATAACCTGAATCATAGGATGAGCTATAGGAAACTAATTTATTCACTTTGTGATGAGTTCAGATTTTATTCCAGCATTACTCAGCATTCCAGTATTACTCAGGATACTAAGTCTGTTTCTAGTCTCTTGTTTAATTGCCCTTTATGATCTTCCATGACAAAAGAACAAATCTTCCAAAACTGTACTCAGAAACATAACTCCTACAAATGGCATCCCATTCATTCAATTATTGTTATCCCATTAACTTTTATATTATATTTGAACACTTCGTAAAGGTAAACAAAATATATATAGTTTCCAAATACAAGCCATGGAGACTCAACCACATGAGTAATAAAATAGATATCAATAATGCCTTAACTGATATGATTGATTACATAGAATAAAACAGGAGTTCAGAGCTCACTCTTGCTTAATTGTATTAGCTCTGTAGTGCAGAAAGTTCTAAAAATAATTGTTTTATCAATGAAATAAATAACACTGATTCCAATGCTTAAATGCTGTTTTTTCCTGCTTACTTGCAACAGTTGTGGTGACTTAGAGTTGGGTGAACAATCCTTTTTTTCCCCTTTTGGTTTAGCAGATGAGCTGAAAAATTGGGGGGAAAGGTTGAGGGATGGCAAAATGTGTGTGTGTGTGTGTGTGTGTGTGTGTACACGTGTGTGTGTGAGCACACCCTTTAAAATGGAAACTAAAAATCATATCAAATTGACTTATTTTGTCTGACCCTCTTCTTCCAGATGTAAGGTGTTAATTTGCCATTCCTAATTGCTTGTTCTCTTTATTTAAAAATAAAAATGAGATGTTTTAGTATTCTTGCAATGAAATGTCAGTTAAATATCAAAACAAAACACATCCACAGTTTTGTAATTTTCCATTTTTAAGACAAAATGATTTGTCAAATTTGACCTGAATTTAAAAATAGTCTCAGAAGAAAAAAAAACGTGTTTTTTAGGCAAATGTACTGTTCACTTAAAGTCACCTAGCTCTTAGTATTTGTGCTTGAGCTGAATCAGAATAAATCCATGTTGTATTAATCTCATAATAATGGAATCAGAGAAAATTAGGGTTGGAAAGGACCTCAGGAGGTTATTTACCTCTAACCTCCTGCTCAAAGCATATTTCCAGTCTAACATTGCATCTGGCTTTTTAACTTGCAGTCATGTATATTTTACCAACCTATTTTGGCTTTTCTGGTCCCTTTCAAAATTACTGATTTCCTGGATTTCTCTCTCAGGTAAAATATCTGGGGTAGATTATGTTAGATTATGTTGAACAGCTCTGGATGAGTGGCCAGATAGGACTCAAGTAGCCCAATTCTTTCTCTCTGGCATCCTAATTGGAAATCATATCAGCCCTTAGGCCACTCATCTGTTAGAAATTCTTCCTCCTAGCACTTGTAATAGAATCTATTTTCTGCTAAATATAGAATCATAGAATAGAAGGACCAGAAGGGACCTGTAAGATCATCCAGCCTGGCCCCCTGCCATGGAGTTAGTTGGGCTCAAATGAGCTAAATGAGGTGCTTGTCTAGCCGCTTTTGAACACCTCTGGGGATGACGACTGCACCACCTCTGCTGGGAGTGTGTTCCAGATTCTTGATACCCTTATGGAAAATAATTTTTTTCTTATGTCCAGCCTAAATTTTTCCTCAAGTATCTTGTGCCCCTAGGACCTCATCCTCCACCCCACAGGTGCTTTTCTGAAGAGTTGTTCCCCTAGATCTTGGTGTTTGTCCCTGACATACTTTTAGGCGGCTATCAAATCACTTCTCAGTCTTCTCTTACTCAGACTGAACAAACTCAGTTCTCAGAGTCTCTCCTCATAAGGCCTACCCTCCAGGCCCCTGATCATACAGGTGTCCCTTCTTTGTACCCTTTTGAGCTTATCCACATCCTTCTTGAAGTGCGATGCACAGAACTGGACACAGTAGTTCAGCTGTGGTCTCACCAATGTCAAATAGAAGAGGAGGAGCACCTCCCTGGATCCACTGGCAATGCATCGGCTGATATGTTCCCTCTATCTGAGATTTTTCCTCCATATTTATTAGTTTGCCTTTTTTTCCAAAATGAATTTCATTTTATCTGCTCATATTTCTAAAATTATTATAGTAGTTTTCATTAATAAGTCAACAGTTGCCAAAATGTGTCAAGCAGCTGGTCACTGTAATATATACAGGTAGTCGATTAAATACCCCCTGTTTGGTCAATGCTAGTGAAATTGTTACTACTGTTATATCCATCTGTATTTTGTTCCTTACTGCTATTTACCTCTTTTCAAAATTCAGTATAATGAGGGTGCATCTATGCATGCAATTAGGGTGAGGAAATAAACTCCAACATGTTTTGCACTGGAGTTTATTTCTCCTGGGCACAGTGTTTACATGTTCGCCCAAGACTGCTGCATGTTGAACCAGGGCAGAGAAGCCCCAGGCTGGCAGGGGGCCTGGGGGTCAGCCGCGAGCTTCGGGTGGAAGCATCAGGTGGCTGAAGGGTTGGCTGGGGCGTTGCTACAGTGCAGGGATAGCTAGCAGGCAGCCCCTATACAATATGACCCTTGTGCCCAGCCAGCTCTGGTCACTGTCTTCATGTTCCTTATAGTGGCATAAATGACTCCACCATAGGGTTAGTACTTGTCCTGGACAATACTATCCTATTGTTGAGTCAATTAATTTACTGCACCCTAAAATGAGTGTAAGTGTAGACAGTGATGCTTTACTGTTTAGCTAATTAGTCAACTCTCCAGCAAAGCATACATGTAGATCCACCTTCAGTGTAATTAATTACATGTTTCTTCACTCCCTCACATAAAATATTAAAGAAGCCAAGAACATGATCTATATTATAATATGAAAAACCATTTCCATCACAATAATATGCATTTTTGTTGTTCTGACCCTATAGTAGTCTCCGATGCAAATGAGAATGCTGATATTCATTCACACTTTTTTTGAGATGTGCATCAAATGCTATATCGAAATACAAATGTTATTTACTCCTTGCCCTTTAGCCACTAACTCTGTAATTTTGTTTGAAAACCAACTTCCTAATGGTTTAAGCTAATTAAAGTTTTCACTCTAATACTTCTTACTACAAGACATTTTGACACTGTGGATAATCCCTTTTGGGAGTAGCATACAAATTTTTTCTGGCAGCAGATTCAAAGGACTTTTTTGATTGCCTTGTTTCACTCTTCTTTACAGCTGGGTTATACTCTCAAACTACAAGGTGAAGTTATATTAAGATAATTCTTTTAAATGTTACTTCCTATTGCTTCTTTATTAATTTTTTCTTATCAAAGAGTAAGTCAAAATGGGAGTCACAACATTGGAATGATTCTCTGTTGTATTTTCTAACAGGAAAGAGACACGATTCTTCAAATAGTATTCCAGAGCATTTTGCAGATGACACAAAATTGGGGGAAGTAGTAGATATGCTGGAGGGTAGGGCTAGGATTCAAAGTGACCTAGACAAATTGGAGGAGTGGGCCAAAAGGAATCTCATGAGGTTCAACAAGGGCAAGTGCAAAGTCCTGCACTTAGGATGGAACAATCCCATGCACCAATACAGGCTGGGGGCTGGCTGACTGGGCAGCAACTCTGCAGAAAAGGACCTGGGGGTTACAGTAAACAATTAACTGAATATGAACCAATAGTGTGCCCTTGTTGCCAAGAAGGCTCGCAGCATACTGAGCTGATCGGTAGGAGTGTTGTCAAGAGAAGTGATTATTCCCCTCTATTCAGCACTGGTGAGGCCACATCTGAAGTACTGTGTTCAGTTTTGGGCCCCCCACAATCTGTCATCTTCTGCTGCACTCTCTCCAATTTGTCCACATCCTTTCTGTATAAACCAAGA